TGAACATAACAAATGAATTGAACCCTGTCCAGCGACATAATTATACACACCCAGGCAATGGAATTCTGATAGGAGTATTCCATTTCCTTATCCCTAAGGAACTGATAAAACTCTTTAACATAATATAAATGCAATAGTGACAGTAATAATACAAATTTTTAAAAGCAATAGATAATATTCACTGGATGTTTACAGTATGCCAGGCATTGTTAAGTGCTTAGCAAGAATAGTCTCAATTCACACAGCAACCCTGAGAAGCAGGCATTATGCTCATTTTATAATAAAAGAAACTGAATCTCACAAATGATAACTAATGTATCAGTATCACAAAGTAAGTAGATGGCAGGGCCAACCTTTGGATCCTAGTCCATGTGTCCATTATAGAGTGGCAAAAAACATGGACTTCATGGAAAGGCACTTTTCCCATGAAGGATGTGAGTGGGTGCCCCATTCTCTAGCTTAAGGCAGTTATTCTCAATACTACATTTACAAAATGAGGATCATAATGCTATCTAACCATTACACATTTTTGAGAGAATAAATAAGATAATGAATATAAAGCTTTAATATTTTGCTCAGAACATACTGCCTTCTCAATAAATGATATCTAGTAGTATTAATATCAAGGGTAGTTAGTATTCACTTTAGAAGAAAATATACATTTGATAAATGACAAGATTAAATTTATTAATCAAGAGTGTCGGATAACTGAATTCTAGTTCTTGGACAATCCATATAATAAAAAATAAGACAGTAAGATTTCAACCAGCCATCAAATACTTTACAACTACCTCTTATGTCTCCAGTTTCATTATTTTTTCTGTCACCTACACTGTGTTTTGATGATGATGGATTTCTAAAGTTAAATGTTGAGTTGTAATTTCCTGACAGTCTATCACCAATTACCACACATTAAGAGGTCTAATCAATTTTTTAAAATAATTTCATGAAGCATGTTGTTCATTAGGAATTTTTTTTATTTTAGCATTTAAAAAAAATTTTACTAAAGTCTTTCACAATATACTTTTACACCTATGTAGCCACACTTGAAAAGATGTCAGTGAAGTAATTTGTTTCTATTGAAAATAAAAGGAATTATAGATACAATGATCACTAGAATCTCCCCATTGAAAATGAAACAGTATTTGCATGTTGCTTACAAATTAGATGCATAGGGCAGAAGGTAGGTCTGACTATGAACTGAGCTATTCCATGCAAAACAGAAGAGATTATTTTATTGCTCTACGGAGCTGAAGGAGAAACAGGAAGAAAGGAGAGCCTACAAGAAGGCTTAGCTAACTAAATGCTTGGGTCCAAGCAGGATTTTGGTCTCTTGTTTATTTTGGTTTTGTTTGTTTGTTTGTTTGTTTGTTTGTTTGTTTTGGAGGCATTCAGTTCGGTTTCATAGAAACTTGCTAAATTTTGCAGGAACCTACTTAGGGGCATAGGATTTATGAATATAGAAAGGAGTTAAGAGCTTGAAAAACCCACCCAAGGACATACAGTGAATCTGAAGGAACCCCCAGTCATACTCAGTTTGGGCTGACTAGCTTCAGAAAACACCTAGACTTACAAAAATCACAGAGCATTCACTTCACTTTCAGAAGGCTAGAGAAGTGATATTTGAAGTGATTTACTCAGATTCCTATAGACAATGGGTTTTAACCAACATAGGAAGACTTTATACGATAATGTAAAATAGTGAAACTTAACAACTAATAGCCTATTTGTTGACTGGAAACCTTACTAAAGAACATAAATGGTCAACTAACACATTTTATGTGTTATGTGTATTATATACTGCATTCTTACACTAAAGCAAGCTAAAGAAAATATTATTAAAGAAATCGTAAGAAAGAGAAAATACATTTACAGTACTGTACTGTTTTCTTTTTAGTATATCCACATGTAAGTGGAACTGTGTAGTTCAAACCCATGTTGTTTAAGGGTCAACTGTACATCCTCTAGGATTTCTCTGAGTAAGAGTCTTTTGTCAGCCAAGTCTCTCTCATTTCTTGATCTGAGAATGTCTTTATTTTGCTCACTACAAAGATATTTTCCGTGGGTTTATAATTCTGGAATCATCCTTCTTTTCTCTGGACACATGAAAGATTGTTTTCAAACTTTTTTGATTTCTCTGCCCTATGTTAAGGCAGTAAATCCTATTACTCTGTCCACCTAGAAGGCTGGATCTTGTCTCCTGTCACCTCCAATTCCCAAGATCATGAAATCCTTGCTGAGATTCCCTGAGGTTGAGCATATGCCTGCAGGACAGACATGGCTCTAGTACTCTGCTTTCCTTTCTGGGAAATCTGGGAAACTGCTTTCACTTAGTTTTTAGACTCTTAAGTATTCCTCATTTTCTTGACAATACATCAGTGCATATTACAAGTTGCTTTTTTAGATTTTATCCAGAATTTGGTTTTGTTGGGGCACCTGCATGGCTCAGTTAGTTAAGGGTCTGCCTTCGGCTCAGGTCATGATCCCAGGGTCCTGGGATCAAGCCCTGAGTTGGGCTTCCTGCTCAGTGGGGAGTCTGCTTCTCCCTGTCCCTCTGCCTGCAGCTCCGTCTGCTTGTTCTCTCTCTCTCTCTCTTTCTCTCAAATAAATAAAATCTTTTTAAAAAGACTTTGTTTTTGTTTTCACAACAAATATCAGTTATGATATTTGCTATGCCATTCTGCTGAAAAAAAAATAAGGCTGGTCCATTTCATTTAAAGAGAGAGACAAAGAGAGGCAGACAGAGGAGGGTTTTTCATTCTTTTTCTGTTAATAGAATTCCATTTTAGGAATGCCTGAGTATCTCAGTCAGCTAAGTGTCCAACTCTTGGTTTCAGCTCAGGTCATAATCTCAGGGTGATGAGATCAAGTCCTGTGCTGGCTTTGTGCTCAGCATGGGGTCCGCTTAAGATTCCTTCTCCCCCCACTGCTGCCCTCCCCAGCTCTCTCTCTCTCTCTCTCTTTCTTTAAAAAGTAAGTAAATAAATAAAAATATTTAAAAAGAGAGTTCCATTTTAAAAGTAGAGGACTTATTTTGGACCTTTTTCTCTGTATGTGTATGCCTGCATTATTTGCCTTAGCATCAGAAGCAGTCTTGATGGTATAAAGATTTCAAGTACCTTTAGGACTTAATATAAAACATTGATAGTTCTAGCACATGGTCTTGATTAAGCAAGAATAGCAGTATTAGGTATGGGTTTAGTAGTGTAAGAACCTCAAGAAGTCTCTGAGTTACTGTCCATTTAGAATTTGCTAGAAAAGCTAAGAACCATGTAGCTGAAAGCATGGAGAAATCTATAGGCATTTAACTTGGAGTTATGTGGTAGAAATAAGAAGGATCAAAAACTAAGTCTATGAAGATTGAGCACAAAAATACCAATGCTAGCTCCTTGATCCATATCTATGGGAAATGGTACCGATCTATCACCACACTTACCCTCCTTAAGCCAAGGACATGCTTCAGAATCCATCTCAGCACAGTAGCCTCAGCACCCAGTGCCAAACAACCACAGGAGGCAGAAGGATGCAATTTAGCAAAATAGCAACTAACAGTACCTTGTGGCTTGTTCTTCTGTTTTTCAGTAGGGAAACTGCAAGTGATATGTTTTCTCAGGTGCAGCAGAGAAAAGAATTCTTTCCACTCTCAGTTCACCTTTTTGGAAGCTCTGCTATGGTAACCCATGCTAGTGCTTCCTGTAATTGGCTACACAGACACCCAACAAGTAACCATCTAGTGATTGCTGGAGAGGAAAAGGAAGGCTTGTTGACGGTTTCTTCCAGATGTAGAAATTTGCCATGAAATTCTGTACTTGGAACTAGATCTAGAAATAAAGACATATGAATAACCTTTCCAGCTACAATAAGTTTTTTGTTTGTCTGCTTTGTCTTGTTCTTAGAACTTGTGGGCTTGATAGAGAAAAGACAGTTCTTCCATTTGCATGAGTTTATTTCCACTCACAGGCCATGGTGCCAGCTGTTCCCTTCAGTGATAGTCTCCTTTTCTAGATCTTTCCGTAAATGCCAGCTTTTTCTCACCCTTCATGCTTTAAGTCTTGTTTTAAAATGACCTCCTCAAGGTCTTTTCTGATTACTGAAAGTAGGCTTCACTACCAACAATTCATTCTCTAATCAACCATGTTCTTTGCTTTGTGGCATTTATCACTCACTGGAAGTATTTTATTTTTCCTTTTCATGTGTCACCTGTCTCCCCTCACCAGAGCATACATTCTGAGAGGCCAGAATATTTACTGTCTTGTATCCTCAGCACCTATGATGGTGCCTAACATGTAGTAGGCACATGATGATATTTGTGCAGTAATTAATGTGAATGAGAAATATGTACTTGCTATTTATTTTCACCTATGGACTTAATTTTTAAGGTGACTTTAATTTATAGAAAGGTTTTAATTTTATCAAGTTATTTTTTGACTCTCATGGTAATGAAAAGGGACCAATTTATATCTCTATAACAGAAAACACATAGGAGTTGAGATGGCAAAATGATATAGTGCTTAGAAAGACAAACATATGAGCCTAGGTTTTAATCTCAGTTTTTCCATTAGTAGGGGTGAGACCATGAGTGAGGTATCCAACCTCTCTGTTCCTTAGTTTTCTTATTACAGAAATTATGACAAAGGGAAGACAATAGGATTGGGAGAAAAGGAAATGAATTAATGTACTGCAAACACTTAAAATAATGTCTGCCCTTTGGAAGGCCTCTGTAAGTTATTTATTGATGTTATCACATAAAACTACTGTAAATGCACATTATATGCATGTGCAGCTAACTTTTTATGAATTTTTTCACTTGTCAGGAGTAAATAATCATACCTACTTTATGGAATCATGGTGAGAGTGATGAAGTATAAAGCACTTAGAGTAGGGTCTGGCACAGTTAACACTCAAAAACTGCAGTTTTTATTATCATATGCAATATATTCAAATGACTTTTATTCACTTGCTCTTTCCATTCTCCATCTTTTTTGTGTTTGTGCTACCAGACTGTGATCTTTATTCGTGATAGAAATTCTCATGGGCAGGAGGTGTCAGGATACATTGACTATGCCCACAGGCTAAAGCTCGAAGATTTTGAAGTTTATTTTAGTGGAAAAAGAAGACTTCTTCCAAAACCTACAGATATGAGGTAAATTGTATGTACTTCTCACACCCTCAGTAAGAGAACAAGCTCCAGAGAGGTATGATAAAAGATTCTTACTTTCTGTTCTATGTCATGCTTAGAGTGCAATATATATATTATATATATGTAAGAGTAGCTTGAATAAAAAAATTTTTAAATTTAGATTGGAAATGAAGATAGATGCACTTTTTCTGTTAACAGTCTAAGGAAGAGAACTTTTCAGAGGTGAGGTAAGTCAATTCTCAGTGACATTCCTTTTAAATGCTAAGTAGAACCTAAAAATGGCTAATCTCATAAGGCTTTGCAATGAGATTGGGACTTGGTCTGCGTGGACCTGGTCTTCTTAGCAGCCTCAAGAACTGTCCACCTAACACATTCTTCTCCCCCCCCCCCTTTTTTTGGCCACCAACCAAAGTACAAGGCTTTGATGAGCTTGCCCTCATTTACTCTCATCACTGGCCTATTCTGGAATTCCTTCCCACCCATCATTCTTTTTATTATTGACCCCTTACCCCTTCTTCTGGAGGTCACATATGATCTGCTCTATACTGTTGGTTATTCACAGATCAACCCATCTATCCCCTGATGAATAAATCTCAAGCTAATTTTTTAATTATTTTACTTCCTATACAATCCAAAAGTGATAGCAGCATTCTACTTGAACTCTCCACTGTATCCAGATTATTTGACACTTGTGACAATACTCTTCTCCTCTGACATTCCTCCTGTATTTTGTCCATTTTTTTGCTATTATCTAAAGATTTCCTAACCCATCACCACACCTTAATGGATCTACTCCTTTTCTGATCTCACCTAGATGCATGGCATGTCATTTAACTACTCTCTGTAATAATCTCTTTTTGTATTTTGGCTGTATCTATCCTGCTAACTTCAAAGGTAAATTGATAAACACTTTTTTTTTTCCTGCACCTGTAACTGAATTCCTGGGTTCTGCTGGAGGAAATTTTAGGAAATTCCACTAAGGTGTGGATATCCAAAAATATTCTTAAAATATTCTTAAGTTTCATCACTTCCTCAAGATCTTCATCATCAACTCTTGACACTGATTCCTCTCAATATATGATTTGCCTCACATTTCACAGATTACATTGAGTCTAAACATAGAAACTACCAACTGGGGATCCCTGGGTGGCACAGCGGTTTAGCGCCTACCTTTGGCCCAGGGTGTGATCCTGGAGACCCGGGATCGAATCCCACGTCGGGCTCCCGGTGTATGGAGCCTGCTTCTCCCTCTGCCTATGTCTCTGCCTCTCTCTCTCTCTGTGACAATCATAAATAAATAAAAATTTAAAAAGATACTTAAAAAAAAACAAAAAAAAAAAACTACCAACTGATCTGTCTCTTTGTCGATCAAAACAGACTTCCTCATTAGCCTGCATTCTCTTTGTAGTGCCCTTCTGATTATCTTCAGTAATGATTCCATTCTGGCAGCCATCAGCCCCTGGGCCCACCATCCATGTTCAGAATATGACTTTTGCTACTTGGTACACCACCATGCTATCTCATCCATTAGCCTATCTCTCAGAGGGCCAATTTGCTGCAAACCAGTATACATTCCTCCAACTCAGCAAGACCCACAGTTCCTCAAGAACCATGAGGGAATATATGACATAAGAATGATTTGGGGGGCACCTGAGGGACTCAATGTTTGGGCATCTGCTTTTTGCTCAGATCATGATCCCAGAACCCCCAGATCAAGTCCTGAGAAGCCTGCTTCTCCCTCTGCCTATGTCTCTGCCTCTCTCTGTGTGTCTCTTATGAATAAATAAATAAAATCTTTTTTTTTTTAAAGAATGAGTTGGAATTTTTTCTGGTGGCATTTCTGAAACAACATAGGTCTGACCTTAGGTGGCTACACCCTCTGCTTTTAGAAATAAATTTATATCTTGAAAAACAATTAATAGTGAATTCTTACCAAGTGAAATATTCCATTTATACATACATCTAGTCTCACAATTTTTTTAGAGATTCAGAGAAAAAAATAACTACTTGTTCTATTTAGAACTAATTTATTCAACTTGTTTTTCATGCTTTCGATACAACTTTCCACTGAAGCTATACTTCATCTGTTCCCCGTTTTTAAAAACTCTCAAACTTACTCCCTCAACTAACTCCTTTATCTTGCCTCTAAACATGCTGAAACCATTTCTATTAAAAAAAAAAAAAAAAAAAAAAAAAAAAGGAAATCTCCTTTGCATTACAACTCTTCCACTGCCTCTCCTTTGGTTTTCAGCTAAGCTCCTCAAAATAGTGTGTCTCCAATTCTCACTTCTCATGTAGGCGCTAACCCATGGTAATTATTCTGTGCCACCATTATTCAAATGGAATGACTCCTGCTAACATCACCAGGTACTGCCAACTTCGAAATCCCATAGATTATTTTCAGTTATTCTCTGACTGAACTTCCTTATAGTATTTGATTAATGTTGATTAATCATTATGCTGAATAATTATGTCTTCTCAAAACTATTCAAATAACTCTTTTTTCTTTTCAGAATCCCTCATTGAACTCTCCCCCCTTGTTTTTTCATACACATTGGCATTCATCAGAGTTCATCCTTAGACTCCTTTTCTTATCATATGTATTTTCCTGGGTGATTTGATCATTTTCTTAGAGGGGAGTTGTTCTTCACAGCTGCAACCTTAACACAGATCTCTCTTTTTATTGCATATTCCGTTATCCCACTGTTTACTTTAGAGAATGTTCTGTGTATCCCAGTAGGACCTAAAACTTATTTTCAAAATTAAACTCATTTTAACCTCTGTAGTTTGCTCTTGCTTCTGTATCTTCCATCTCGGCAAATGGCACTGCCCTTGGAACTCAAAGCAAAATCCAGATGTCATCCTAGACCTCTTCCTCTCTACCACCACTCCACAACTAATAATTTACTAAAAATACCATATTCTATAACCTTAACATCTTTGTTTATATTAAAGCAAACGTAAGATGTGTCCTTTCACCTGTATGAATTGTTCATACTAATATTTCAGTATGAATCTTTATCTGATGACACTTTAGCAGAAAAAAACATGACATTATCATACCCAACAAATAATTCCTTAATATCCTCTAATATCTGATTAGTCCTTATTCATATTTCATTGAATGTCTTAAAGTTATCTATTCAGAGTTGATTTCACCATATCAAAATCCAAATAATATTGTTTTCTTATTCTATCTTTTGTAATTCTTTTCTTATAAAACAATACCTTCCTTCTTTTTAATATTTTTATACTGTTGATTTGTTAGAGAAACCATGTCATTTATCCCAAGAAATGGCTCATATTCTCAATGTGACTGATGACTCTCACACTGTTGTTTTACATCCTACCTCTATCCTTCTACTTCCTGTAAAATGGCTTGATGAAATAATTTTCAGTGTTTTCTTTTTATTTAAAATATTTAAAATGTGAAACTCCATGAGCTTGATCTGTGAGTTCAGATGGTGTCAGTTTGATCACTCCACTATAAAGTTCCCCATTGTTTCACCCAAATGGTTTTAGCATACAATAACAAAAGCTACCTAAATATTTTTACTAAGGGTTGTGTAATGGTAATTCTCTAATTCTATCATTCATTCTGCATTTTTCAACTAGAATTCTTCCATAGGGAATAACTTTTCCTCATCACTTAATTTGGTTACCCTAAAATTGAATTCAGTGCAGGAAGAAAGATAAAATAAATATTTGATTATTTCCCTAAATTTGTGGAAAAAATGCAAAGCCAAAAGAACAAAAGAGTACACAGATAATGCCAAATTGTTTTCAAAGTGGTTCTGCCAATTTGTACCCACCAGAAGTTCTATGTAAATTCTCTAGTCAACATTTTTTCCCCACTGTTGTGAGTTATGAATGATCTCTCATTGTGGTTTTTAACTTTGATTTCTCTAAACTACTAATTAGGTTGGGCATCTTTCGTTGGTTTTTCATATTTCCTTTCTGTGAATTATCTATTAAGACTTTTCTTCATCTTTTCTATTGGTTATTCTTCCTTTTCTTATAGATTGTGAATTATTTTTATGTTTTGGACACTGATTAATCATTTGTCTCTTGTATGTATTGAAAAATATCATCTTCCCATGTGTATTTCTCCTTTCACTTCTGTTACATTGACTTTGATAGTCAGAAGTCAGAAGTTTTGATGGATTAATATGTTTTACTAATCTTTTCATCCGAGATTTGCATTTTTTGTGTTTTGTTTAACCAAACCCTACCTTTATGCAGGGCAAAAAGATATTGTCCTATTATAGAGTATAGTTTTGATTTTTATTTTATATCTTTAACCTACCAAGATTAAACATTATATGTGATGTTTGGGTAAGGGTCCGCTTTTTATTATTGTTTTCCTGTATGACTAATAATTTGTCCTAGAGCACTTACTGGAAAGTTCACTATCTTCTCTCCTGTGTATACAATACCATTTGTGTCTTAAGTTAGGCTCTGTACATGTTAGTTTATTACTGGGCTCATTCTCTAGTTTTAGTGGTCTTTCTGTGAAATAATATAATCTTGCTCATTTGGTATATTTTAGTAATAGTTTTTGAAATAAAGTCAGTTCTTCTTCAGAAGCATCTACACCATGCTTGTCCTTTACTCCAAAACATAAATTTTAGAGTCAGCTTGTGAAATTCACACACAAAAAAAAGCTGCAATTTTGATTGGACTTGCCTTTGAGTTATGATCAGTGTACAATTAACTGGCATCTATGATATTCAGTCTTCCATTTATTTACTTATTTACACCTTCTAAAACCTCTTTTAATAATATTGTGTAAGTTTCCTAATTAGTGAGTTTTATCATTTTTTTCCTCATGGGTGCCAGCTCATTTCTGAACTTTTAAACAAAGTTGCTCTATTCTGATAATTCCACTGGATGATTTTTACCACATGAGTTTGACTTAAGCCATCCATCAGAATCAATCTTCAGATTTTTCACTCAAGTGATTTCACACCAATAAATGACTAAACAGTTGCTACCGGGGGTGG